TCCCCAGTTTCGTACTGTCGGCGCGAGCGTGCGGAAGCCGCCAAAGGACGACCTGCGCGCCCGGCTGGGAAGATGCGAGGCCTTGTTGATGCGGGTAGAAACCCGCCGCAAGACTCTCTCCCAATCCAACTCGCCTGCCGCGCCTTCACCAGCACCAGTCCAAGCTACAGAGGTCACAGACGTCGAAGCGCTTCGTCGAGCCACCCAAAAGCTCTCCTTCACGGCCATCGTGGACGATGATGGCCCCAGATTCACGGACAGCTACATGTGGGCCACATTACGCGAACAGGTAAGAAGGCCGGGAACCTACTTGATGTGATATTGAAGGGGCTACCTATTCACCTCATCTATCTGCGGCGGGCTTATTCCTTCATAGCTCAATACCATCGCGCAGATGATTGCGGACAGGGACGAAAATGGCATGAGCACAGGCACGGGCTCCACACCCTGCTCTTTATCCTCCAGCGAGGAATATGACGCTGCTAGCGACGATCAGGAGGTGGTGCCATCCGGCGCACAGATCCTGAGCCTCTGGCAAATCTTTATCGAACGAGTTAACCCCTTCATCAAGCTTATCCACATCCCTAGCCTCCAGCCCCTTGTGGTTCAAGCCTTGGCTGGCCACGCCCAACTCCCAGCCGATGCACAGGCCCTTCTCTCTGCTGTTTACCTTGTCGCAGTCCTCGCTCTGAAGGAGAGCGAGTCGATGCAGGTGCTCGGCAGGCCAAAGGAGGAGGCGGCGAAGCAGTTTACCTCCGCGGCCCAAGACGCTCTAAAACGGTCTTACTTCCTAGAGCGCCCTACACTGATGAAGACACAGGCGATGACCTTGCTGCTGGTAAGCTTGCACCTCTTAAAATGCATTTCAATTCAATTGCGCGGGCTGGCGGCTGACATACCGGGGAAGATTGCCTTTCAGGGACGCTACCACCGTCACGCTGCATGGGTTCTCTGCGGCGTTCTTATCAGGATCGCGCAGAAGATGGGCCTCCATCGCGACGGGGAAGAACTGGGACTCCCACCATTTGAGGCAGAAATGCGGCGACGGCTTTGGTGGCAGATCGTCCTGCTGGACATGGGCTACGGCGTGGCCTCAGGGTACCTTGACACGGCGTTTCCCTGGGACTGGCACACCGAGCTGCCCCAGAATGTCAGCGATGCCGATATATCCCCTGACTCAAAAGACCCGATCAAGCCTCGGGAGGGAGCTGCAGAGATGGCGCTCCCCTTGATGTTTTGGGAGCTAGGCAAGTTTATCGTCGAGGAAAAATTGTTCAACTTCGAAGCGGTCGCTCTCGGCACGTCGGAGGCGAGTACTGCAAGTTCGTCAGCTGCCGGCCAGGCATCTGCAAAGCACTGGCGGAAGTTGGTCCAAAAATTGGAGTCGCGCTTCATCGCACTGGAGAGAGGATATGGCCCCCAACCAACAAGCTGCGGAACCCACGTCATCGCAGCCAGCATCCGGCCGGTCCTCATCGACACGATGCGGTCCGTGTTGATGCCCATGAAGGATTTGCCAGAATGGGGCACCGAAGTCCGCAACGAAGAGGACAATGTATTCCGCATCTACGTTATCCAGCTCGAGCATGATATCATGGTATACGAGCGGATAAAAGACACGGTTTTTTCGTGGTTCTTCGACCTCATCGTCCGGATCGACGTCTTGGCCTTCCTGGCCGGGCAGCTCTGCCGTCGGACCACAGGCACTCTGGTGAGCCGGGCCTGGAAAGCGATAGATCGCATGTACCACTATCGCGAGAAGCTATTGGACATGTCGAAAGACGACATGGTTGAGCTCGGCTGCTTGATGCTCGAGGCATGGGCTGCGCGCGCGCAGGTGTTGCGCAACCTCGGCCTACCCTGTGAAGCGCCGCTCATGATTCCCAGCATGCAGGCTGCTCTCAACAAGAATGAGAGCAGCCCTGAATAGATCTGCCGGCTACAATACCGAGAGAATCATCTAAAGCTCTTATCATGCCGATGGCCCTGAATTCGAGTCCCATTTCTACCGTCTATAATTCTATAGCGCAAGTCCAGTCGCGCCTCTAACCCGTACCTCGAGGACTTACTTGCGCGCATGCGCGGCGCAACGAGCCGTCCTCACCAGCCCCCAATGCGGTTAGCATACATGGTCATACCGCCTCCTAGCGGGCCAGCAACAATGGCGTGGACGATCATCATGGGCTTGTCGCCCTTCCTCCCAATCCCCTTGAACTTCCAGTCGAACCGTCCGACCAGCTGAGCCACAAGCGAGAGCATCTCGCCCCTCGCGAATCGCTCGCCGATGCACGCCCGCGGCCCGTAGGTGAAGGGCATGACAGCGTAGGGATCATCGGTGCCTCCCAGGGGGTCGATGCTGAGCTTCCCGTCGGTTTTTACGAGCCAGCGCTCCGGGTCGAATACATTGGCCTTGGGTCCCCATACCTTGCGGGACTCGTGGATCAGGCCCGGTGCCACGGTCACAGCAGTGCCCTTGGGGATGGGTGTGCTCCCGATCTTGGTGTCTGGCGCTACGGTCTGGCGGTGGCAGTACACTACGGGAGAGTACAGACGCAGAACCTCGTTGCAGACGGCAACCAGGTACGGGAGAGATTCGATGAGTACAGCATCGACCGCGGCGTTGGAGGACGGTGAGGGAAGATTCGCTCGAATTTCCTCCCGAAGGCGGAGTTGCATCTCGGGGTGCTCGGAGAGCGAGTACAGAGTCATTGCTACGGCCGTCGCTGTGGTCTCTTGACCAGCAATCATGAAATCCATCGACTGGTCGAGCAAGTACTCGTCGGAGAAGTTGGCCCCGGACTGCACCAGGGTGGCGATGATATCGCCCTGCGCGTACTGCTTCGACAATTCCTTGCTAGCATCTTTGCGACGCTCATGGATCAGTGGGCGGATGAATTCAGTGATGACGCGCTTCGCGGACATGATCTCATTCCTGGCCTTGACGGGAAGCCGGCGATAGAGCCAATAGGGCAGCAGGAAGGCAGTGAATCGGTAGGCCAGATGCGAGTTCTTGGAAGCAAATAAGTTCCGGAAGTGTTTGACTTTGCTCGAGTGCGGGTCATCTACGGCGTTGATGGAGGCCCCGAAGGCCGTCAGGGTGATAATGTCCAGCGTGACATGGTGCAGCCGCTCTCCAATGTCGATGATGTTGTTACCGGCCTGGTACATCTGCTTCTCGATGACGTTGAGAAACTTGGCGCCCTCGGTCCAGAAGGTCGGGGACAGCTCCTTGAGGTACTTGAACTTGAATGCTGGTTGCAACAGCTTCCTATCAATCTATTCCCCGCGTAAGTCTATGCGCGCAAGTCATCGAGTGGGGAGGAGGCAGGCCCATCGCACCCTGTGCTTCTCCGGCGGCGCCACCAGGATTCCCTGCCGGGCGAACTGGCCCATGACCTCCAGCGCCCATGGGAGCTTGATGTAGTTATATCCCTGCGTCTGGAGAACGTCCTTGCAGCCCTGCGGCGTGGTGACGAGCACGCGCTCGGCGTTGAGGAAGCCGTAGTAGCGGATCAACCCATCATTGGGCACCTCGTTGATCCATTTGATGAGCTTCCCATAGCTCGGCTCCTTGAGGAGGCGGTACCGAAGCGGAGCCTGGCTCGGGCGGGGCAAGTGCCGAAGGGGGCTCAAGTAGAATGGGTATAGGACAATGTGGTAAAGCGCCAAGAGGAGGGTATGAGCCAGGGCGATGGTGATGGCCGGCAGCAGGTAACACCAGGGCTCGTAGCATTGGCCTTCCCGGGCCTGTCTCCACAACAAGCTTCCGGCGACCGCAGTCGCCAAGATCGGCAGTAACATCGGCGGCCGCTGGATACCTGCTTCAATTGGCAGTACGTAGGTGTAGTTACTTACTGTAAAGAGGCGGGTTCGCGGCCGGGTCGCGTGCTGTCTCGGTCGGCGAAGCTTGCTCGTTTTAACTCGAGCCTGTCTCGTTTTTTTCTCCCCTGCTGCTTACTCTTTTTTTTTTTTTTTGTTGAGGAGCTGATCTGACGATTTGATCCAAAATCTTTTAGCGGCCTTGGGCAGAACCGGGTCCACCACACATCATAAGAACCTTGTTTCCCGCCCGTGTGGCTAGCCATAAAAGGAACGGCGTCTCACCCGGACCAGCCACCAGAGCCAATGTTTCATAGCCAACGCACGCGCTTATCTTCACCAGCGAGCTCCGCCCGAGGTGAAGGCAGTCCTCGATTGGAAGGTTCTCTGGGCGTGTTCCTAAGTAGGCCAAAGGTCCAAAATGCTGACAGGACCCAAGCACTGTTGAGACTCTTGGCTGGCTGGCCATCAGATTTACTGGATCCCTAGCTTCGGGTCCATGTCAAGCATCCCCCCGCCATTCAGGTTGGATAACGATTGCAGCTGCCGAGTTTTTGGCACGTCTCCGACTCCCATTCTCGTATATGGCTATAAGATGCCCATCAAAATGACAACACGCTAGTGTACGAAGCGGCAATTCGCGTTCTTATTTGAAGATTAGAAAGTTTACTGGCGTGAGCAGTGGGCTATAGGACGTCACGCCCCATTTAATTTTGCCTTGAAACAGTATAATCCCGAGGATAATACATATAACCGTCAGGGCATGCTTCATGCTTTATTGGGTGTATATCCGTATGGTTGCCATATTCTTCTGAGGAGATATTATTACTAATCGCTAACTTCTCACGGGGACCCCATACTGGCACAGGACCTGTGCCGCTAATCTGGCACAGGTCCTGTGCTAATTACGTAAGCCCACACCCTAACCCTGGGATCCCCCATATAGGGGGGGGGGAGGGAAACAACCACCATATATACGATCCTAATCCCCTTATATTTTAATAAAATCTAGGCGGCTAGCTGGCGTAGTGGATATATCGTCGTAAAGATCGTATATTTACTAGTAAAAAGTGTAAAAAGTAATAAAAAAAAGGCTTTAAAGCCGTAATTGAACGCCCCTTATAAAAAAAGGTAGCCCGAGTCAGATGCAGCGCGGCGCGCTGCATCTGAACTCGGGCTTATGGCTAAGGCAGGAATCGAACCTGAGACCTCTCTAGAGGGAACTAGAGTGTACTACCACTGTGCTATGAAGCCGTGATTTATTATTACTGGGAAAGAGCAAAAGTAATCTAAATAAATGACTATACACTACTTTTACCACTAAGAATACTACCACTACTCTTTTACTATTATTTGCTCCTCAACTATATCCTCAAGCTTACGAAACCCCTGTCGACTAGTAAATACCCTATCATGTTCCACCTGCTTATCTACACGTTCTTGGATCTGGCGCTCCTCGGCTGTATCCCAATCTAAATAAGCTATCTTTGCCTCTTGTGGCTAAGGTTTCCCCTTATAAAGCTTCCCTATCTGCTTCTAGTTAAGGCACTAGTTATACTTAGCTTTAGTAAACCGTAAAGGTAAGCCTATTGCCTTACGGTACGCTTGGTTGGTTCGTATAGCTCCATGTGGCTGAGCTTTATACTAAGACTCTCTTGCTTGGAGATATCGTTGATATATAGCTTGTGGATCGTCTTTAGGGAGCTCTGGGGAGGGGGATAATATAGGCGTTGGCGAGTGTTTTAGAAGCTGTGTTGGCTGGGCTAGCTGGGCTAGCTGGGCTAGCTGGGCTAGCTGGGCTAGATGGATCGCTGGCTGGATCGCCGGTTGGATTGCTGGCTGGCTAGCTAGCCCATGCGAGGGAGCTTCTCTAGGGGAAGCAAGTAGCTCGTGGGGCCTTGTAGGCTTGTGGGGTCTTGTGGGCTTGCGGGGGGGGTTTATAGGCCGAGATAAAAGCTTGGCAAAGTGTAATGGGCAAGCCTTTGAGGTTATAATATGGCTAAGTTTATGGTATTGGCTACAACGAGGGGGGGCTTTTAGCTTTGGATCAACCTGTTTAAATCCACTAGGCTCGCGACGAGTGTTTGTTGACAAGCTTATATATGGATTGATTTGTTGGCGTGGCTTGGCTAAAAACGGGGTAGGATCTATATGGTTTAAGTGCTAATGGGTATGAAAATGACTAAGTTGAAGTGGTTGGCCGTGTAAGTCCTGGATTGTATGGGCACAAGGTAAACTAGTTGACCGAGTAAAAGCTTTTGTATAAGCTGGAAGTGGTAAAACGTGTATTTGTTGCTCTTTAACCTTTTTAAAAGCTTTGTATGATATATATCTAAAGATTATACTATATAAAGCTTTATTAAAGGTTAAAGGGGTATGTGATTGTTGATACGCTTGCTTAGCGGATAGCTGGTTAAGCTGGTTAAAAAGAGCTAATATAATTAATTTCTAAGCCTTGTATAAGTTTAAATCTGAGCGAGATAAATACTCCTTTAATACCCTGTGGATCCCTTTAACACGTGAAGTAATAACAGTGGTAAAATGGAGGTGTTGATCAACCCATGCCTATATAAACTTTTCTTTGTGTGGAAGCTACGTAGTTTGGATATAACTGACTTTCTCGGCGTATAATGGAAGCTAATCTTGTTCTAACTCAGCTAGTTGTTTGTTAAAAGCCTCTTTTGTAGGAGATTGGACTAATGTATGCTAGGAAGTATTAAATCGGTGCTAAGTTGTATTATTATTGCTTTTGTTTTGATGGCTAATTAAAGGCTTATAGTGTTGTAAAACTGCCTTATTAATATGCTAGCGGTAAAGTAAAAGGGCTGTAGCTGGAAATATAGTCGAAATAGTGTTTATATAAGCTAGACAACGATCTGTAAGAACTATAGATGGGAGTTGTATATTAAAAGCTTGATAAATTGCTTTTTGTTAAAAGGTATGATAGGGAATCAATTTTGATAACGTAAGCAATGGAATGCACATGAAAAGTGGGTCCGGCCAGCGGATCTTTT